CCTCTGCCTCCCGAGTGCTGGGATTAAAGACGTGCACCACCACTGCCCAACTTCAAAAACTTTTTTTTTAAGTATAAAATGATGTAACTTTGATTCAGCAATGGTTGTTTGAGTAAAGATAAGACCATTCCATTAATCAAAGGACCGGTGGGTACATTTTGTACATTCATCAACTGAATACCATTTAGGTATCAGGGTGGAGTAGATTTCACTGGCTGGCAATAAATTCAGCGCTATTCAGTGAAGCATCCAAGCGGTGGAAAGTACCCTGATTCCTTTGTTCTTTTTTGAGACAGGATCTCATATAGCCCAGACTGACATTAAATATGCTATGGACCTAACATTGGCCTTGAACTCCTGACCCTCAAGCTTCTACCCTCCGAGTGCTGGGATTATAGATGCGTACCACTAAGTCCAAGCAAGGCTCCCATTTGGGTAAACATCTTACATCACAGTTGAAACAGCTCGAAGCATGAGCCTACTGGTCCTGTTTTCTGCCGGCTGTTTATGCAGGCATTTCTGTCACCTGAGGATGGAGTACCTTGTAGCATCATGACCAACACAGTATGGTGACCACATGCTCTGCTCCTTAGAGATGGCTAAGAGGGAGGAACAGTCTCCAGGTACCTCCCTAGCCTTCATGCCAGCTATATGAAACCATTACAACTGTCCCTGTCAGAGTGGCTGACACCATGAGCTGGGCTGGGTGTAGGCTTCCTTTGCCACAGGCACCTCTACTGTTTTCCTCCTGCTCCTCTCCCAGAAGCAGAAGTGTCAGAGAAGGTATGGAAGCATCATCCCAGTTGCCTGTGGATAGAAAAGGCAAGGATGTAGAAGAATTTGGCTGGTGATGCCAGACTGGGCTGATGCTGGGATCCAGATTTACACTTGTGAGGACCTAAGATGCAAACTTTATCTTACCAGAGACTAAAAGACCAAAGCTCTGAAGATAAAAAGGCTGTGACTATCCAATATTAGGAAAAAAAGCAAAGAAAGAAGGGCATTTGGAGAAGGCAGCAGAGCACTGGGAGGACATAGGTGACTATGATCAAAATAAATTATATACACGTGAAAATATCATAATGAAACTCATTATTATTTTGTGTGATAGGGGTAGACTATGGTTGCCCCAGGCTGGCTTCTAAAGGCCTATTGCCTGCTTTCTTCACTGTAGCCAGAGGTCTCAAGAAGGCTCTCTTAAACCTAGCAGTGAGATCATCTACTTCTCACCCCTACGTTTCTTTCACTTGTCTTCCACCCATTCCAGGCCCCAGTCAGCAAGGGACTGGGAATGAAGTTGCAAAATAAAGTTCAAGATGATGTTTCATAGCCTCCACAGGAATGAGAAGAAACGTGGCATTCTTTTGGAGGCTGATTCATTCTAGATAAAGTCATGCCCTGGAAAGGGGCCAGAGGATGACATGGATCTCTGGGACGTGGAGCCATGCATTCCAGAAACCTCTCTGTTCCTAGCTGCCTTCAGCAGCCAAAAAGACATGGGGCAGGGTAGATTACACTTTACTTAGAGCACATAGTATCTGGCTTTCTCATCTTATCTATGCTTACAGCATGCCTATATCACCAGACAAGGGTTAGAGGCGACAAGATAAGCTCAATTCCAGTTGGGGTTATCAACTGAGATTAAAAGAATTTACAGGAGGAGATGGCTGGAGATGAGGAAACAGAAAAAGTTAGAGCTATATTTCACTGTAATGCTCTCCCTGATTCTGGGGTGGAAGGCTTCCCTTGTTGGTTCCAAACCAAGAGAAGCCTGTAAGCAGCCACCTCTGCTGCCATCTGGCTCTTCATATAGACCCCAGACAGCCAACTACCATCAGGGTCACCCTTTCTACAAAGCAGTTCTAGGGCCCACTCCAGAGACCACATCTGACCTTGCCTCACGTGAAAGAGAATCTGTAGATGTGTCTGCAGCTAGGACACCCATGTCCTAAGTAGCCACTGCTTTTGGATCTGCAGGCTTTGACCCCAGGGGCTTCCCAATCATGGGAACCTACTGATAGGGTTGCTCAGAGAAGCAGGTACTCAGGCATCTGAGCGTGGCCTTGGAGAAAGGAAGCAATGGAAGCCTCAATTCCTAATATGAGCCACCTTCTCTCAGTAGAGATTTCTTCTGCCTGCTTCCAGCTTCCCTCCCTTTAAAGCATCAGCAAGTGGAGGATGAAGATAACCCAAGTGGCTCTGGCGTTCTGGGTGGAATTCAGTATTCTCCTATCTCCCTATCCATCATGAGGAAGATCTTGCAAAAAAATATATATATATATATGGAAAGCCTCAGAGACATATTGCTGTGTTGGTGTTGCTATGGAGACAGCAACAGTTTCTAAGACAAAGGCCTTCTGCCTCCTGGGAAATCTGGTCTTTCTGCAATGCTCATCCTAGGAGATGCTTAGGAGAAACCTGGCATTTCAGCATTTTATTTATTCATTCATTCACGTGTGTGTGCACTCACCTGTGCACGTAGAGGCTAGGAGCTGACAATGGGAGTCTTCCTCTCTGGCTTTCTGCTTGATTTGTTTGCGTGTGCCTGCCCACATGTCATGGTACACGTGTGGAGGTCAGAGAACAGAGTCTGGGTGACAGTTCTCACCCGAGACAAGGTCTCCTTCCCACTGTGTCGGCAGGGACAACGGGTGCTAAAGGCTCTGGAGAGTGTCTCTGCCCCTCAGCTCCCTTTAGGGAAGCACTGGGATTAAAGAAGCCTAAGGTATAGTGTCTGGTTTTTATATGGGCTCTGAGAATCCAAATCCAGGTTGTCAGGGCTGCTCAACAAGTGCCTTTATCTACTGAGCAGTCTCCCCAATACCCACCTCATTTTTTTTTAGACAGGGTTTCTTCTTGAAACTTGAGCTTACCATTTTAGCTAGACTGACTGAGCAGCAAGTTCCCCAGGGTCTATCAATTCCAACACACCAGCACTGGGATACAGGAGCATGCAGCAATACCCAGCTTCTACATGGGTGCGTATGTACCTGAACTCTGATTCTGGTGTTTGTATAACAAGCTCTGTACAACCTGAACTATCTCCCTAACCCTGTTTACTTGTTTCTGAGACACAGTCAGGGAGGGGTTCACACATCTCAGGTTGGCTTTGAACTTACTAGGTAACCAAAGATGAGCTTGAACTGCCCCCCCCCCAGGCGGTTTCTCTGGAGCCTATCGTGGCACTTGCTCTGGAGACCAGGCTGGCCTCGAACTCACAGAGATCCACCTGCCTCTGCCTCCTGGGTGCTTGGATTAAAGGCATGTACCACCAACACCCAGCAAGCCTACCTCTATATAGGTAGGTGTGTGCTGCCATGCCTAGCTTACACTTTGCTGAGGCTTAAACCCAGAGCCTTTGTACATCCTAGACTCTACCAACTGGACAATATCCCCAGCATGAGGTTTTGGATTTTTTTTTTTTCTAAGACAGAGTCTCACTATGTAGCCATGGCTGTTCCAAACTCAGAGATTCACCTGTTTCTGCCCTCCAAGTATTTGGATTAAAGGCATGGGCTCCTGTGCCTGGCTTTGAGATGTTTTTTAAGCCAGGAATTTACTACAGCAGTTATGTCTGGCCTTGACTCAGCCTCCAGAAAGCTGAGATTCATAAATGTGTGCTACCATGCCCACCTCCCCCTTTCTTAAAGATAAGTTGATTTAGTGTACTGCAAGGACAGTAAAAGGGGCAGTAACAAGAATACCTCCTGCTAGTAATATTTTTCTTTTAAAAATATTTATTATAATTTTAAATTACATGTGATATATATACATATATATACATATATATGTATATATACACACATATACATATATATGTATACATATACACACACACATATATATGTTTATATACACACACACACACACACACACACACACACATACACGCACACACACATACATACACACATGGCTGTAGGTGTGTGCATGTGACTACAGGTGCCCATAGAAGCCAGAGGTGTCAGACACCCTGGTGTTGAGTCACTGGCAGTTGTGAGTCATGTGACATGGGTACCAGGAAATGAATTTGGGTCCTTTGTGAGAGCAGTATGTATTCTCAACCACCAAGTCATGTCTCCAGTCCCAGTAACTTTTACAAGGTTCTTCTAACACCAAAGAGAAGTAGGAGTATGCCACTGAGCTTGGTTTGTGTAGTGCTCAAGACTAACCCTACCGTTCTGTGTGTGCCAGGCAACTGGGCTATACATGTCTAGCCTCCCAAATTTATATTTTGTGGGTTTTAAAAAATATTTATTTTTATTCTCAGTGTTGCAATTGCATGGGCGAATATGTAACAGTTAAGTGTCACGCCCATACAGTATTGGGTCCCCTGACACCAGAGTCACAGATGACTCTGAGCTGCCACAGAAGTGCTGGGACCCAGACTCTGGTCCTCTGCAAGGACAGCAAGTGCGCTTCCTGAGCCACCTCTACAGCCCCCAAAATTTATATTTTGAACACTTCGTCCACGCCCAGCCTGGAAAAACTAGGGAGAGACCAAGCCTATAAACTGAAGCTTCTGGGAGCTGCTATCCCTTAGCACACCGGGCACCCGCACTTGTACCTTATCAGAAAAGGCCAAAGAAGACTGGCAAGATGACTCAGTGGGTAAAAGAACTTGGCACCAAGGCTGAAAACCTGAGTTTAATCCGTGGGACCCAGGAGGTGGAGGGATTCCTGTAAGCTGTCCTCTGGCACCCCAAGGACGCTTCATGGGTTGTGTTCCCCATTCCCTGCCTGGTTTCCTGAGAGCTCACCTCATGATAAAGTTATGGCCGTCCACATCTTGCCCATAGCCAGAGCCCCGAAGGTTGCCTGAGTTTCCCACCACAGCACAGCGCCGGCACTGTTGGGGATCCCGGAAGCGGTAGGGGTTCTCGCCAGGCACGATCTGAAACAGCTTCTCCAGCACCTCATTGGTGTTGTGTGACTTGAATTGGGGTTGCAGCATCTGGGCAAGGGAGACGGCTGTGAGGATAGAGAGATTCACCCCTTCAAACCTCCCCTGTAGCAGACCTCCCTCCCCAGGCACCGAGGGACGTCTCCTCTCTCAATGGCAGCAAAGTTTTGATTCCCAGTCAGTCTCACTATTGAGAGACCAATACTCAGTACCCTGCCAGTCACGGGCTGCTCCTCCAATGCTCTCAAGAGACTTGGGGTGGGGGGTGGGGTGTCAAAGTGCTATTTGAGGCATTTTGGAGGGGCTTGTAGGCCTGGGTCATAAAGCAGTGTAATGTCCTTGAGGGAATCTTTTCCAATCTGTGTCCTGGGGGCACCTGTGGGACATGTCTGTAGCCACTCTGAACCCTCTAGGAAGCACAGGGAGTTCATTTAAAAAAAGAAAAACAGTAGGTAAGTTCCTCCAAAGCCAGGAGGTTGGAACAAAGTGGCTCCCTCTGCCCCTTATCAAGGGCTGGCACCCAAACTGCTTATGATCAACAAAGACTCCATGTAGCTGAGGTGAGCTTTGAACTCCTGATCCTCCCGTCTCCACCTCCTAAGCATTGTATTTTGTTAGAGACAGTACATAGTCCAGGCTGGTTTTGACCTTGCTTTGTAACACGGGCTGGCTCTGACCAAACAGTGATCCTCCTGCCTCAAATTCCTGAGTGCTAGGATTATAGATGTATACCACCATACCCTGCCACAGTTCAGTGCTCAGTGGGGCAAATGACACACAGGAGCAAAGGAAATGGGGCATACAGCAAACAAAAGATCATATACCTACCAAAAAAAAAAAAAAAAAAAAAAGGAAATCCATGAGTCAGTGACGTCTCAGGAAGTGAAGGCACTTGCTGCAAGACTGGTGACCACTACTCAAGTCTTAGGACCAACACAGCTGGAGAAAATTGACTCTGATCTCCATACATGTGATGTGACATGCACATACACACATACAGAGAGAGGAGGGGAGATAGGGGGAAGAAAGGGACAGAGGGAGGTAGTTTTTAAAAATCCAGTCAACCAGCCAGGCAGTGGTGGTGCACACCTTTAGTCCCAGTACTCGGGAGGCAGAGGCAGGGGGATCTCTGTGAGCCTGGTCTACACTGCTGTAGACTGAGGTGTAGTCCCGTGGGTTTGTGGGCAAACAAACAGGAGCTGCTCAGGGAACCAAAGACTTTTCTGGAGCAGAAGCCTAGCTCTGAGACAAGAATTCTCAACTTTATGGCCAGAGAGGGAACAGGAAGAAGTGTGGGTTGAGAAACATAGTGTCTAAACAGCCTCTGAGTTCCATCCCTATGACTGGAGACCTGGCTCGTCCTCTGGGAATCCACCCCTGCTCAGAGTCCTGGTCTGGCTCTACGAGGCCACCCCTGAGACTACGATGGCAGACTATGAGACACTGGACACTTTTTGAACCTTGATTTTCCTCATACAACAAAGATTGTAGTTGTGAGTGACAGGCAGGACTCTGCTACAAGAAGGGGTGATGGAAGCCGGGTGGTGGTGGCACTTGCCTTTAATCCCAACACTTGAGAGGCAGAGGCAGGTGGATCTCTGTGAGTTTGAGGCCAGCCTGGTCTACCCCAGCCTGGTCTACAGAGCAAATTCCAGGACAGGCTCCAAAGCTACAGAGAAACCCTAAGCCTTTCTCAAATAAGACAAAATAACAACAACAGCATAAAAAGGGCTGATGGAGCTCCTGCTCCACAGATACTAGTCTTGGAGGAATCTAACAGCCTGGGCCGTTAAACAGGTTCTGGGCAGCTGTCTTGATAAATGTGGCCATATAACCTCATATCCCTGAAAAAGGAGGAGAGTCATCTTGCTTCCATTCTGGCTAGAGGAACAGGGACCAGGAACAGATTGCCCATGCCAGGGAAAGCAGGCAGCCTACAGGCCCCATTCTTGGCTCAGGAGGTAGCCAGATGGCCCTGTAGAGCCTGGGAAGAGAGGCTCCAGAGATGATGGGGGCAGGTGGAGGATATAAAGGTCTTGGGACCTAGGAAAATAGGAATGGGCCTGTTATAGGCTCTTCTGAGGCTCCTCAGCTTCCACCTCCCTTAGCATTAGAGGGTTACAATGCTCTCTCCCAGCCCCAAACAGTCTTCTCCAGCAACTGTAAGGAACCAAAAATGACTCTTGAAGTGTTTATAATTACTCTGAGTCAACATTTAGTAATAGGATATTCAGTCTTTTGTTTTGTTTTGTCTGTTTGTTTTTCAAGACAGGGTTTCTCTGTGGCTTTGGAGGCTGCCCTGGAACTAGCTCTTGTAGACCAGGCTGGTCTCAAACTCACAGAGATCCACCTGCCTCTGCCTCCCTAGTGCTGGGATTAAAGGTGTGCGCCACCAACGCCCGGCAGGATATTCAGTCTTAAAATCCATATTTCTGGCTGGGCGGTGGTGATGCATACCTTTAATTCCAGCACTCGGGAGGCAGAGGCAGGTGGATCTCTGTGGGTTCTAGGCCATCCTAGTCTACAGCGTGAGTTTCAGGAAAGCCAGAGCTACACAGAGAAACCCTGTCTAAAAAACAAAAACAAAATAAAATTCATACTTCTGGGCTAGGGAGATAGCTTAGTAAAAAGTGCCTGTTGTGCAAACAATAAAAGCCTGAGTTCAGATTCCAGCACCTATGTAAAAGCCAGATTGGGCCCGTGTGCTTTATTTAATCCCAGCACTCTGGAGACAGAGGCAGTCAGATCTCTTGTGAGTTCAAGGCCAGTCTGGTCTACATAGTGAATTCCAGAACAGCCAGAGTTACACAATGACACCTGCCTCAAAAATGAACAACAAAAATAAGGTCGTCACAACCTCTGGCTTCCACAAGCATAATACTACATGCTTACACACACATAAAACATGCACAGCAGCCAGGCATTGGTGGCACACGCCTTTAATCCCAGCACTCGGGAGGCAGAGGCAGGCGGAGCTCTGTGAGTTCGAGGCCAGCCTGGTCTCCAGAGCGAGTGCCAGGAAAACCTCCAAAACAATACAGAGAAACCTTGTCTCGAAAAACAAAACAAAAAACATGCACAGCACATATAGGGGCTGGAGAGACGGCTCAGCGGTTAAGAGCACTGGCTGCTCTTCCGGGGAACCCAGGTTCAATTTGCAGAACCCATATGGTGGCTCACAAATATCTGTAACTCCAGTTCCAGGGGATCCAAAGCCTTCTTCTGGCCTCTGAGGGCACCAGGTACACAAGTGGTACACAGAAATACATGCACACAGAACATCCATTCACATATCTAAAATTTTTTTAAATTGTCAAAAGCATGTACACTGTGCACACAAAACCGGGCTTCCAGTGTCTAATGAGAGGCTAGAGGAAGGCAGGCAAAATGACTGAGTGAGGAATGGAGCTCACTGCACACCTGGCAATCTGAGTTCAATCCCTGGGACCCATGTAAAGATAGAAGAAAGCACCAACTCCACAAAGTTGCCCTCTGACCTCCACATGTGCACTCTGGCACCTATACGTCAATCGCCACATCATACATGTACACATGCATGTACACACACACACACACACACATACACACACACACACACACACACACACACACACCACAAACAACAATAATTGTGGAAAAGAAGACATTGGAGGAGGGAGTAGCAGGAGCCTCTTGCTGCAGCTGTGGCCCTCACTCACTTTCCCCCTCGGACCGCTGTTGCCATTTGTGCTGCCTACGTAGGCCAACAGCATTTTTGGGGTGTACACTGGACTCCTATAAGCACCACAAATAGTAGTTCTCGCTCCTCCCAGATCAAAGCTCACTGTGCTGCCAGCAAGCTGTGATCCAAGTATACGGCTCAGACCGGATGGGCTTCCCACTCTGTCAGGGTGCTGAGAGTCATGAGATAGACAGCCCAAGTCCAAAAGGGGGCTGTCAGAGCGGCTCCAAAATGAACTGATTCTGGAAAGGAGGCAGCAAAAGGAAAGCAGAGGGGGCCACAGTTCTTACCATCCACCACCTTTGGACATCCGGGGGGAGATTCATGTTATCTCTGGTCCAGACAGGTGAGATGTTACTGTCAAAGTGGCTGTCAAACCAGTCAGAGGTGCCAGCATCACCCATGCAGCGACTGCAGGCACAACTTTTCCCCGAAAGCCCCTCCTTGCCAAGGCGCTGTAGTCCGGTATAGCCTGGCACCAGCTTCACCCGGTGTGTTCCGCCCAGGGCCCCCGAGTCCAGGTAGGGCAAGGTGGCCATGCTGTGGTGTGAGTAGGTGAAGAGCAAGGACATGATGAACACCAGCAGGAAGGCCACAGAGAGGAACCACACCCGCAGGGAGCACTTCATCGTGCTGGCCACGGGGCGGCTGTCACCGTGGCCAATCCTTTCCCAGCCCACTGTGGGGCCAGCCACGGTGCAGCCTGCTTCTTTTGGCAGCACTTGTAAAGGGCATAGGGGCACGAGGTGGGGCAGGGGACCCTTGCCACACCCTCCCTCAAAAAAGGAGAACGCCCGTCTACAGAAGAAGCCCCCCGCCCTCCCCCCGTCCCTGAGCCACTGGAGCCTCTGCTTAAGGCTTCATCAGGTCTCTCAGTCACTAGCTGGGCCACAAAGGCTCTGCTTCTCCTGCCACCCTGTCAAGGCAGAGGTCAGTCCATCCCAGCCCTCTAGTCCCTTGTGACTGCCGGCTGCCAGCTCCAGGGACCCCCCTCTTTGGCGGCTTGAAAAGGTCCAGTCTGGAACAGTCGGGGTCCTTGTGGCTCATGAGCAGACACTAAGGCAGCCCCTCCTCCCCAGCAGTGGGGAAGTCCTGGAACTCTGATCACAGCAGAGAGCACACGGGCTTCAGGGGGCCTGCATTCCATGCAAGAGTCCTCTTCACACTCACGGGCTCTCCTGGCCTGACTCCTTGGCCTGGGGAAAGGAGCCCCACCTGAGACCAGAAAGAAAACCAATAATCTTTCTGGGCATCAGGAAACTGCTGCAAAAACCAAGGCCTTCCTCTCTGTAGCTTCTGTCCTGCTGCTTCCCATCAGCGGGGCTGGTCCTCTTGCCTGGTGATTGCAGCCCCAGCTGCAGCTGCACAGCGGATCACAAAGCACCTACTCCTGCTGTGGGGTCCTCTGGAGCTGGGAACAGCTGCTGCTCAGCAAGGTGCTGCGTCTAAGCCATGTGGGTCAGCAGAGCTTGAATGAGCTCCTCACCAGGCTCCCTGGAACTGCCAACCTCGGCAGGGCAGCTGTCCTGCCCACCCCTGCTTCTGGGGTGAGGCTGTCCTGCCCTTGGCTCCTGCCAGCAGTAATCCCGTCAGGCTCTTCCTCACCTGTTAGGTGCCAGGTTGCCACAGCATGACCCTGAAATTCAGAGAGGAAAAGAATATGCAGATAAGACAGCAGGAACACACATGCGTGCACGTGCGCGTACGCGCGCGTGCGCACACACAGATACACACACACACACACACACACACACACACACACACACACAGAGTCTCTGTCTCTCACACATACACATATACTCACCCCACACAAGCTTGCCCACACACTCACATTCACCCTCTCTGTGTCTGTCTGTCTGTCTGTCTGTCTCTCTTTCTCTCTCTCTCTCACACACACACACACACACACAAAGACACAGACACAAACACACACACACACACACACACACACACACAGACACAGACATACACACATAGCCCCTTTCTGTCTCTCTCACACACAAAGACACACACACACCCCCTCTCTCTGTCTCTCTCTCACACACACAAAGGCACAGACACACACATACACACTCATTTGCTTGCCCATCCACTCACCCTGTCTGTCTGTCTCTGTCTGTCTGTCTCTCTCTCACACACACACACATACACAGGCCCCACCCATGATCTCAGAGGGGTCAAGGCCGGCAGGAAAGGAGATAGATACTCCTTAACAAAAAGGTAGACGAAAGAAAGGGTTCTCTCCTGGAACCATCCATAGACAGCATCACTTTGCCTAACCCCCAGCCTGGAAGAACTGAGTTAGTGCAGCACCTTCATTAATTAGCCTGAGAATAAACAAGGAGTATGCTAATTTCCCCAGGGTCTGATGGCAAGGGCTGACACGCTCAGTTTGGAAAGCCTTGTCCAGCTTTGTGTAGTTACTTTCAGGCAAAACTGAGGAGAAATTGGCCCAGAGAAGATGGCAAGGTCTGGGAATAATGGCATCCCCCACATAATGCTCTCAGAAAACTTCTAGTGTGCGTGGGAAGCTGGCAGGGACTTGTCCGTGATCTCTCAGGTGTGGATTGTACAGGCAACATTTCTGATTGGTCCATTGAACCATGACCGATCCTTCCTGCTCTGCTGCTCACGGAAAGCATGTCAGGAGATGGGGTTTCTGGCTTCAGAACCACCACCAACTAACCCCATGGGGAGTTTCCTTCATCTGTGTATTATGGACAAAATGAGCTCCAAGAGTCCAACAGCCCAAGGCTCCACACTGCCTAGCAGACAATAGGGAGAGGAGGCCATTTACAGAGCTGTTTGAGTACTGGCCTGAAGGAAAGGGGCTTGAATCCACACTAAGGGAACCCCTTAAACCTTCTCTTCAAATTGCCAGCCAGAGTAAGTTGTGACATGATCCTGGGTCTCTCATTCACTTTTCCTTATTGAAAGCTCCAGCCAGACATTCTAGGGTTCTCTGGCTGCTGCTAGCTGCAGGCTGTCTGAGGATCTGTGTTTAAAAAAAGATGCCAGCTAGAACAGCAGCCTGCAGCCCCAGAAGGAAGGAGCAGGAAGATAAGGAGCTGGCTGAGGGTTGTTTAGTAGTGAATCGGAGGAAACAAGATGGTTCAGTAGAAGAGTTTGCACAAGTCTGACGGCCTTCGTTCAGTCCCTGGAACTCACTTCAAGAAGAATGGTCTCTACAAAGTTTTCTTCTGATCTCATGTGAGTGACATGTGCCCCCACCCCCATCACACACGCAAAGAGCAGTTTAAAGGGGGGGGGGGGGATTCTAGAGAGACGGCTCAGTGGTTAATAGTACTGTCTGCTTTTCCAGAAACCCAGTCCAGTTCCGACCAGCCACAGGGCAGCAGCTCACGATCATCTGTAACTCCTTTTCTAGAGGATCCATTGCCCTCTTCTGGCCTCCTTGGGCACCAGTCATACACAAGATGCACAGACATACATGTGGACAAAATCCCCATACACAGAAAATAAAAATAAATAAATCTTTAAAAAAAAAATCCCCAGCTCCCTCAGTTTGTAACGACTCAAATTGCTTCAGTAAAGCTAAACCCCAGAGCCACCAAGGACTGGTTATTAGCACAATACAACAGGGAAGATGTTACTGTAGATGGGGAAAATGATGCTTACAGATGTGAAAGTACTTGCTGAAGGCCATGACCCGATGAGCGGCAGAGAGTTCTGAGACCTGGTCTGACTCCAAAACCTGAGAAGAGCCAGAGTGCTGAAAGAAGCCTGTGAGCCAGGGCAGATGCAAAGGCTCATGGGAGAAAGGGAAGGACAGAGGTGCTGAGATAGCTCAGAAGGTAAAAGCACTTTCTTCCTTGCCTGCTGACCTGACTTCAATACCTGGGACACACATAGTAGAAGGGAAAGAGCCAACTGCCTTAAGTTGTCCTCTGATGTCCACATACACACACAAATAATTAAATGTAATTTTTTGAAGCTTCAAGCTAGGCATGAAGGTACATGCCTATAATCCCAGCTCTTGGGACATAAAGGCAGGAAATATTTTTGAGTTTAAAACCATTATGGTACCTTAAATAATGGCTGGCATACGCTCATATATTCAAATGCTTAGTCACCAGGGAATGGTACTATTTGAAAGGATTAGAAGGGTTAGGAGGTGTGGTCTTATTGGAGGAAGTCTGTCAATGGGGGCAAGCTTTGAGGTTTCAAAAGCCCAAATCAAGCCCAGTGTCTCTCCCTCGGTCTGTGGATCAGGATGTAGCTCTCAGCTACTACTCCAGTGCCATGCATACTGTCATGCTCCCAGCCATGCTGATAATGGGCTAAACCTCTGAGACTCTAAGTGAGTCCCCAATTAAACGCTTTCTTTTATAAGAGTTCCCTTGGTCATATCTGTTCACAGCAACAGAACAGTGGCTAAAGACAAACCACCTTCCGCTGCATAGCAAGTTTGAAGGTAGCCTGGGAAAAATAAGAACAAAAAAGAAGGGGGCTGGAGAGATGGCTCAGAGGTTAAGAGCACTGACTGCTCTTCCAGAGGTCCTGAGTTCACTTCCCAGCAACCACTTGGTGGCCCACAACCATCTGTAATGAGATCTGGTGCCCTTTTCTGGTGTGCAAGCATGCATGCAGATAACTGTATACATAATAAATTTAAAAAATCAAAAAAAAAAAAAAAACAAGCTGGGCAGTGGTGGCGCACGCCTTTAATCCCAGCACTCGGGAGGCAGAGGCAGGTGGATCTCTGTGAGTTCGAGACCAGCCTGGTCTACAAGAGCTAGTTCCAGGACAGCCTCAAAAGCCACAGAGAAACCTTGTCTAGAAAAACAAAAACAAAAACAAAAAAACAAAAAGAAAACACCACCAGGCTGGAGACATGGCTCGGGTGGTAGGGTTCTTGACTAGAATGTATGAAGCCCTGGGTTCCATGTTCAGAACTGCACGAGCCATGGTGGTGTATATCTATGGTTCCAAGCACTCATGAGGTAGACCAGGAGGATTAGAAGTTCACGGTTATTCTTGACTAGAAAGCAAGGTTAAGCCCAGCTTGGGTTACACGAGCCCATGCCTCAAACAACAAAACACCCAAAGCTTCCCTCACATGCCTTATCTAAGGTTCCTGAATTGACTCCAGGGAGACCCCCAAACACTGGCTCAAATGAGCTTCTTCAAATGCTCACTGGTTCATGAAGAAGATTACACCTTAAAGTAGACTTTGGCTGAACAGGCTGAAATGGGAAACCGACCTATTGTATCTTTCAGGGTCTCCCTTTGCCCACATCCTCGCCCAACATCTAAGGAAAATAATTCAGTTTTGTAGAGTCCTGTTTCTAGCTTCTATGATCTGAAGAGAGCCATTCACAGGGTAGGAGGCCCTAGGTGGCAGTGACTTTGTAGGGTGAGTGCCTGAAGGAATGATGCCCAATCCCTCACAGAAAGTCCATGACTATCCCCACATAAAATGTAAGAAATGGGAGTGTGGGTGTGGTGGCATATGCCCGTAATCCCAGCACTTGAAAGGCAAAGGCAGGAGAACCATGAGTTCAAGGCTACCATAAAAAGAGAGGGCCTCAAAAACAAAGCTAGGTGTGATGGCACACACTTTTAATCCCAGCACACAGGAAGCTGAGACAAGTGGATCTCTGTGAGTTCGAGGCCACTATGATCTACAATAGCAAGTCCTGGCCTGCCAGGGCTACATAGCAAGAACTTATCTAAAAAAATAAACATTTTGATTGCTAGAAACTCATCTCCTCTCTGTCTTTCCTCCTAGGAAACCTCAGCTTCTCCAAGGAGTCTATGCCATGGGCTTCAAACGACCATCTAAGATCCAGGAGAAAGTTCTCTTTTCTATTGGTTCCTGCCAACACACTATAGCAGCCAACTCCTGCCTTCATGGAGGTAACAGCCAAACTTGACCAAAGGTGGTGCCCTAGAGGCTCAGTCATTATCTTGAGTAAGAGACCAGAGGCCCCTCAAGATGGCTCAGTGCTCTATGGTAAAAGTGATCCCTATAACCCTGAAAAGATGGAAAGAAACAACTCTACAAAGTTTTCTCTGGGCTCCACTTAAGAGGTCCTTAAAAGGTTTTGTCTTGGGACTGGAGAGATGGCTCAGCAATTCAGAGCACTTGGCTTCTCTTCCAAAGAACCTGAGTCCTATTCCCCGCATCTACTTTGTGGCTCACAGCTATCTGTAACTCCAGTTCTAGACGATCTGATGCTCTCTTCTGGCTGACCCATGTTTTATTTTTGTCCTAAATTACACTGTGGGTCACAGTACAAGTGTGAAGGTCAGAGAGCAACTTGCAAAGAGTTGGATTTCTTCTTCCACTGTGTAGTTCCTACAGATGAAATTCAGGTGATTGAGGCTTGGCAGAAAACACTTTTACCTGCTGATCCATCTTGCCAGGACCTACTATTGTTGGTTGTTTATTTATATGAGTGTTTTGCCTGCATGTATTGCCTGGTGTCTGTGGAGGCCAGGAGAGAGCATCAGATCCCCTGAAACAGGAGTTACAGACAGTTATGAGTGCCAGTTAGGTGCTGGGAACTGAACCAAGATCTTCTGCAAGAGCAATAAGTGTTCTTAATTACTGAGCCATCATGTCCCCAGTCAGAAGAGGGCATCTTGTTATTGTTTTTACTCTTTCTTT